CGTGTGTTTCCAGCTTTAAGGGAAATTCGACCAATGAGACCCGAGAATGTAAGCAGACATTTGGAAACTTTTGAAGCTGAAAGTTCCGATCGGTTTGAATTCCTGAATCTTAAGTTTTACTGCTTCAGCTTTTTCGTGCATTTCCAGCTTTACGTGCATTCCGTGGTTATTACCGATGGCGTAATATATCTCACGCGGCCGTTACGTAATGCCAGAAAAAATCGCGGCGGAGGAAAAAACCCGGTGCGATTATCGCTCCTAATTCCGTCGCGGAATAATCGTTCGCCGTTGCACGTCCGTGCGCGCGCGTTTATCCGCGAGCAATTTTAATAACTGGAAACGAGGGCCGATACAAAGCGGAACAAAGTGCACGTCGCCGGCGTATCGGCTGTCCTCACCGCTTCGCGATTTGCGACTCGACCCGCTCGAGACCCACGGCGATCCGATAAAAATGATCGAGGACGATTCTTTCTTTACTCGCCAATTCATCGCCGGATTTGGCCGGGCAGACAGCCGACTGTTGATCTCGTAAAAATCTTTGCGTGTATCTAGAAAGAGTATATCCCAGTGAGAAATGATTCGTCGATCGACGTCGATCTATGAACCATTTCTCGCTGGGATAAGTCCCAGTCCACAATAGAGATTTAAACCCTAAGCCTTAAGAAACTGACTAATCACAGTCGCGTATTCTATACTCATACTTGACCGTGATTGGCCAATTTCTTTAAGCTTAGAGCTTAAATCATCTATTGTAGACTGGGACTAACCCCTGGTCCACAATCTTGCTTTAAGGCTGGTCTACAATACATGGAGTAAGCTGGAGTAAGCTGGAGTAAGGAGTAGGAGTAAGGAAATAAAATGGATTTATTTTCTTACTCCTACTCCTTACTCCAGCTTACTCCAGCTTACTCCATGTATTGTAGACCAGCCTTTAAGTAAGCTGTGAGCCTTAAGCCGTAAGAAATTAACCAATTACAGACATTTATTCCCCTCACTCTCACCTGTGATTGGTTAATTTCTTACGGCTTAAGGCTTACAGCTTACTTAAAGCAAGATTATGAACCAGGGGTAAAGGAGAGTCGAGGAAGAGAAGGAGCGATTTCCGGGCTGTTAATTTTGATAATCTACCGATTGATAACGCGGGCTTACAAAAAATCAAGCCCGCATTGAACAAAGAGCACGCGTCTGTGAAATTTAATGACTCGCGCGCCAGGCTCATCCGGTATATTTATCTTAAGCGATAAGCGATTATTCGCGTTTTAATGAACCTCCCGGCCACCGCTCGTTTACAACCGTTTCGAGAACTGAATCGAAAGATCTTCGCTCGGGCGATACGTTTTACAAAGGACATCCTTGAGGAATCGTCTTATCTTCCTGCGCGATGATGTATTAGCGGCACGTCCGCACGTTTTTTTTTGCGGCGCGGTATGCGTTTCCTCGCGCGTGCATGCACGCGCGAATAATATTCCCGCATCGACTCAGCGGCCGTTACTCATCGACGTATACATTCGCGATTGCGAGCCCGTAAGTCCCGGGGCGGATTATCGCGCGAAACTGCAACGCACCGCCGCGGTATCACCCGCAGTTAAGTTTCCGATAGCGGGCATGAACGACAGCAAGGCCGACGCGCAACAAGTACAGTGTTTATCGTGAGCCCTTGAAAACGCAACCGCTCCTTGGTCGCTGCTCCAGATATCGAATTCCGAGATAAATGCCCGATAACGGAAAGGAAAAACAATCGTTGATTTATGTAAATTATGACACGCATCTGTAAAAGAGCCACCGCTTTTAAACGAAGATTTATTAATCGCTGTTGTTCGCTCGAGAAAAAAATACTATCTCACTGACGCAGGTAGATTTCTAGGTGTCGCGACAAAAATTTATCGCTATTTTGTGTATCTGTTAACAAATTTTTTGTAGCCTGCAAAATTTATAGCAGCAACATTCTAGTAATACCTTCTGGAAAGTTTAGGTTTCACGGCTAAATATTAATCATTTATGTTAATTTCTCTGCCAATGCAAAAAATTTATTGCGAAAAATATTACCTCGTTTGAACTTGGACCTCCCTACACTCTAGGCGGGTGTCTCGTCAATTCGATCACCGAGGCATATAAGAGGCATTGACAGAGAAATGAACAAATGTGGCCAGCTGCGGTCGAATAAAATTTGTAATTTTAGTATCATACTGGCAATTTGAAGAAACCAATCTTTGATTAATCATTTACATTGGATAAAAATGAATTTCGGTAGCTAGAACAATCTTTGTAAAGGCCTGCGTCCGCGATGCTAGAACTTGGTCCAAGTTCTAGAAATGTGTAGCCAATCAACTTGCAGCTACTCCATAAAAGCTGCAAGTTGATTGGATACACATTTCTCGGAACCGACCAGGTTCTACCGTGGACGCAGGCCTTAGGATCTATCCAGACAAACTTGCACAGCGCATAAACGTATGCATAAGAAATCTGATTGGGGTCATAAATGCACGCACAAGGAAAGAGATCAATCAATTTCTTTGTGCATGTGCTCATACACCTGTGCAACTTTGTCTGGAGAGTTTATGTACCACAATCAAGCATTACAATGGATGGGCGTCACAGAAAGAGTTTCTTCGTAACATTCGTTGTTCAGATAGCAATTCTGTTTCTGTCATTTAAATTGATTAAATACAAAACATATGCGATTTCGTAGTATTGGCTATTCGTTTATATGTCTCAGCTATTTGATGACCAATCGGAGTAAAATTCACTAAACTTGAGATTGGTAAACTTTATTCTGATTGGTCAAATTTCAATCTAATCTCAATCCGTAGTTTGATACGGGCTTTATTGCCGCCAAGTATACACAGTTGGAAAATTTGTGTTTTCTTGTTAATAAAAATGCCGGTTAAAATTTTTGTGTTAAATGTTTAACACATTCATGTGTTAATTTAACATATTGCTCTTGTGTTAATTGACCTCAAATGTAGAATTATTTAAATAACTGAAAAGAAATGTTAAAACAACACGATATGTGCTTATTTTTTAATCTTACACAATACATATGTTTTATATTATTAGTAACAAGATTTATCTGTTAAAATTTATAGAATAAAATGTTGATTTTACACAAAATTACTTCAAATTATGTTGAGATTTGCATTTATTTCCTGTTAAAATATTAACAGAGTATTAGTGTGATAATTTAACATATTCATATAATGTTAAATTAACACAAAAATTTGTGTGGACCGTTTGGGACATGTGATATCTGTTAAATTTAACACAAATTTTTCAATTGTGTAGAAAATTGTTGCAAAATCATTTGTTCTAGCGTTAGCCGATTATGAACGACAGCCTTATGTAACGCGAATTACCATCGGCAAAAATAGTATTGCGTATAGATAATAATTTAGTGCGTAAAGCTTATTTTCGATTATGCTTTACGGTTGACTTATTACTGCTAATTGTTTATTCCTGTGAATTATAATTAAGATTTAAAGTAGAATGCATTTCTGCTCTAGCAAATTTTCAGCGAAGTCTCCGGCTCTAAAAAAAATCTCCCTTAACGTTTTCTCGGATACAAAATGACTCGCTAGAAATAATTATTGTCCTTTTCAGATAAGAATTTTGAATTTGACACCTCAGTATTGCAAAGGCGCCGCGAATTACTCGGCTCGTTTCAGTTGGCGCTTGAAATTATTCGGTCACGACGGTACGTTGCGACAGCGCGTGATACCACATTTGCGAGCGACGGAAATCTGCAAGACCGACAACACCGGCGCCAGATCAATCAAAGGAAGCCTCGCGATCGCTAATCATTTTGCAAACGCGTCTCTCCCCCTTCTCGCCCGTTGTACCTTGCATTCCGGAATGCCGTGGTTGACGAGCAAGGCCAATCCTTTCTCGGACAGCGCCCTTAGCAGTTTCGAGGCCACCTGCTTCACGACTCCCTTCTGAGGGCATCTCTCCGTGCCTGAAATAAACATAGAAGAGAACGCTTTGAGTACATAGCAGTAAGATTGCGCGAAGGGAAATTTACTTATACCATACTCATCGTCCGATCAATAAGCATAGTTCCTGCAGTTGTCTTTTTCCCATATCTTTCTTGGTTTTTATTTAAAAAGACCAAAAAATATACATTCATCGTTTACTTGCTAGAATGATTCCTTATTCGTGTTTCGAAATTTCTCATTGCGTGACTCCAGTCGTTAAACGCGAATTTTAGTGGAAGCGAGTATCAAAAGATGCAGAATAATATTGTATATCAGGCACACGCAATATTCGACTTAATGTATTGTATATAATATTACAGAGAAAAGTCTCTTATTATGAGATAGGCTTTTAATACGAGATAGCAGGTTTTCAACATCCAAATTCAATTACAAATCTTCTTTTGCAACGATTGCACGATCTAACAACGAATTTACCATAAAAATTTCATTCCAAGCAATTAATTTTACGATAAAACCAATAAATGGCGTCTATTAATTTAGCAGGAACCCCGTTATCTCATATTAGGAGCGTATCTCGTGACCGGGGATTTTCCTCTATGTATAAAGAATATACAAGTGTATACAGTTTAATATCACGGTATATAAATGTTGAAAAGGCTCAGGTTTCGCGGAAGATTACGCCGAACGCTGATTGCGGATTAAGGAAACGTTGGGGTACTCAGTGTTAAGTTTCTCGACTCTGGGTCTATAAGCGATACGCGAAACCGATGCCAGCAGCAGCGATGATCGATTAAGTCTTTCGCTCAACGAGCGTTCATTGACATTGAGACCGATATTGTGATAGTGAGGTAAAGAAAACAAAACCGGCGGACAGGTTCATCTTTCCGGTGCACTTACACACGGTCGTTATTATGGGCTTGTTTTCTGTTCCTGCACTGGTGAACTAGTGCAATAAATTGGAGTAAGACAAGTATATTTTTTCTCATTCTAGCTTACTGCACTAGTTCACCAGTGCAGGAACAGAAAACAAGCCCGATATCTTACGGTTGCAATCACGTCATATTCGTGATTTCTTTTTTTTTTATTTAACCAAAACAATAGAATAATATTAAAAAGTACAAAAGGATGTCTCGCTACCATTTGACCACGCAAACGGCACGCGTGTCTAACACGGAAAAAACAATGTAGCTGCTGTAGCTGAAACTTAGCAAAATAGGGACAGCTAATATTTTTAGTTGTGATAGCTCAATATTTTGCTACGACAGCAAACCGTTTGCTGTCGCACCTAATACAATAGGCACAGTAGCAAAATATTGAGCTATCACAACTAAAATATTAGCTGTCCCTATTTTGCTAAGTTTTAGCTACAGCAGCTACATTGTTTTTTCCGTGAACAAACATCTTTAAGACGTCTTGGAATCGTCTTTTAGATATGCATGTCTACACACGGAGAGGATTTTCTCTTAAAATTTATCCTGAAAATCATGTGATCGTAGAACAACGTGGCAGAATTCCGTGACAGTTTTTTGAAATTTTACCATACATTTTATTAGTAAATTGTAAATAAGTATAATTTTCAGCGAGATGTATGATAAACTTTCAAAAACTCTCATAAAATTCTTCAAAATGCCACGTTGTCCTACGATCACGTGATTTTCAGGATGAATTTTAAGAGAAAAATCTCTCCGTGCAATAAGAGACGGCTTAAAGACGTCTTTAAAGATGTCTTTTAGACACGCGTGCTGCATGGGCAGTTACGGATACTCTAAAAAAAATCGGTTCTCCCATTCGAGATCGCAAAGTGAACGATATCGTTTCCACATTCGGTGATCACGAAGCGAAGTAGAGCAAACGCAGTGAAATGTTAACGAAACAATGAAATGTAAAATAATTGAAATTAAAAAGTATGAATAACGTCACGTTTACTCACGAGCCAATTTGCTACTATGCGTCAGCATAGACGTCGCAAACGGCGACGTTTAACGGCGCTCATTGTCATCGTGACTTTGCGTCGTCGATTCAGGCAGTGAAAAATCAAAAACGGTTAGCAGCGAGCCTTGGAAGCCGGCGCGAGGTCACGATTCTCGAGAAAGCCATCGTCCCCGAGCCTCGTGTCGTAACGAGATCCGTCCATGAGCGATGAGAGGAGAAACAAACCGCAGATATACGCTCCGCGTACGCATCGCGCTGGCGATTATTACATTTGCCCGGCTAACGTTCACTCGATTAACTCTTGTTCTCGGTTATGTATTTGGCGATTAAGTTTTATTCTCGGTTATGCGTTTGATGTTAAAAGTTATCCTCGCATCGAGGACAAACTCGGCAACGCGATCTACGACAATCTGCGTTAAGTGTCCACTTTTATCGATCGATTAATTTGGAAAATTTGGACTTTCCATTTTTTATACAAACATTAATATCGATGAAACGCACGGCATTTTGCATAACTTCCTTCTACGTGACCGTACGAAATGGGCTGCGTTCGGAAACATCACCCGAGCGCCCCAGTGGATTGTTGTATCCTTGTTGCTCAGCGAATCTCTAGTGGAAAACATTTCTATAAATAACTACAAAAATTGCCTTGAAATAGAAATTTGCAGAAAGTTTTATATCTTCGTTGAAACATTTATTCTTTTGTAAAAATATCTACGAAATAGTATCACAAATTGCAATGCTCTCAAATCAAGAAATTATTGCAAGTAGCATTTCAGGAAAATGTACAATTTTGTAAAAATTAGTACGTAACTTTACTAGTTTTACAAATTTGAGAAACAACAAAATCTTAAAGAATTAAAACATCTGCTTACTTGTAGAATATTACAAAAATTAACAAAAGTGTTCCAATTCTAGCATTTTCATGTTGATTATTAAAGCACTTTTTTAAATTTACGTAGAATTTCGTAGATTCTGGCAGTTATATTTTATAGTTTTGGTGGTATATTTTATTTTTTTGTAGAATTTTGTAGCATTATTTCCGGCAGGGATGTTAAATAAGGATAAAATGATACACGGGGACACTCGAGTGATGTTTCCAAACGCAGCCATGGTAACATGCGATATTCACGAAAGAAACAATGTTACTTTATAGCATACGCCGTATATGTATAGAGGAAAGTCCCCTATTATGAGACAGCGGGGTTTCTACTAAATTAATAGGCATCGTCTGTTGGCTCTATCATGAATTTATTGCCCCTGGAGTGAAGTCTGTTTAGGGGAAAATTGATTGTTAGATCGTGTAATCGTTGCGAAAAAAAGATTTGTGATTGAATTTGGACGTTGAAAACCCGTTAACTCATATTAGAATCCTATCCCATAATAGAGGACCCATACCACACACGCTCGCACTGAAAAAAATTTCTGGTTGAATATGGACGAATCAGATAATTCCTTTAGGATTTACCAGAATTCCTTTAGGATTTACCAGATAATTCCTGTAATCCTACAGAAATTCTGGTAAATCCTAAAGGAATTCTGGTAAATCCTAAAGGAATTATCTGATTCGTCCATATTCAACCAGAAATTTTTTTCAGTGCGGGAAATCCCGAAGGCCGGGACTGCACAGTTTTTCCTCAGAGGATTTCCGGGATGTGTATGGGTACCTTAAGGGTACACAATCGTATCGCGTTCGTATATTTTTCTTAACGACGGTTGTGTCGATCTAACGATTAGTCCCCATACAGCACGCATGTCTAAAAGACATCTTTAAGACATCTTTAAGTCATCTTTTAGACATACATATCATGCATGCTGTATGGGTTAGCTTCATCAGTGATGCCGTATTGTTTTTCAGTTCAGCCGGAATAGCAAGCTGCTTTTGATCTGTACATGTAAGCCATTTAATTTGTATATTACACAAATGTTTCCACGAAACAGGCAGTTTTAAGTGCGGAAGGTGCAAAAGTGCAGAATCACTCCAGCGTTCCCTTAGGGCCAGTTTCACAAACATCGGTTTACTGTTAACTAGGGTTCAGTCAACTCCCTATCTTTTTTCATCTTATTATTTAAGAAGAGACAGCGGATCAATTAGCCTTCGGTTAGCAGTTAACCGACGTTTGTGAAACTGGCCCTTAATAAATTCCCAGCGCGCGTACTCCGCGCAGTTGACGTCAACCGGGTGTAACACTCTTCCTACTGTGTCCGCTATTTTGGCGGCACCGCGACGCAACGATGACGACAAAGTCGGTGGAAGGACCGCTTTCGTTTCGCCGTCCTCGAGACATACGTCGGCCACGGGCGCGGCGCCAAATTCGTCTCGCGCAAAAGACGAGAGTCGCCGCCGACAAAGCCATATTAATACCGCGAAACTATAAGAGAAACGTCGGCCTTTAATAATAGATTCCGGATGGCTAATCCCGATCGAACTGCAACGGCCAGCTGGTGATGTTTAATCTCGAGCGATCTATACGTTACTTTCTGCCACGCTCCGAAAGAAATGTTTCGAAACATCTAATCTCGATGGAATCCATCTCGCCATGTGGAAACGTATATAGTACAATCGCAGTGACAAGAGATGAGCTTATCGAATTTGTTTCCGACCTGATCGAACGATGCAGAGTACGATAAGTTACAGTACTGCTTTGTCTTAAAATGTTTCTCTACTTTAACCTGAATAATAATTTGATATAATTGTGACTTCTCCAAATTTTAAACATCTCGCAACCAAGTACCACTGGGTTTTCCCTTCGTTTCAGCGAATGTATTATTAATAATTGATCATTTCGAAAAGTAAAATGTTACTTCGTGTTTTCCGGGTGGAAAAAATGGAACAAAAATCGCAATTGTTATCTCGGCAATTACGCTGGTTATTTGTAGTATTTAATTTTTTGCAACAGCTATAGTAAAACTGTTGAAGAAATTCTCTCTAACTTTAAAGTACGGATTAGTAGAGGAAAGTCCTCTGTTATGAGATTTTTCAATGTCCAAATTCAATCACAAATCTTTTTTTCGCAACGACCACGCGATCTAACAAACAATTTTCCCCTAAACAGACTTCACTCCAAGGGCAGTAACTTCATGATGG